TATTCATGCCATCAGAGTTGTGTTCACAGGTGTCTCATCCACCTGTATTCAGCTTTACTCTTCCTGTGAGAGGTAGTGACAGCACTGAGCCTGTTTGTCAGCTGGTGCACAAAACTTTCTGTAGACGTGAAGACACCGGACTGACAGAGACGCTGCCTCTGGGATGACTGCAGATGACAGACGTGGGTAACCTGTGAAAATAACAAGGGGATTAAGGTAATCGATACAGGATAATGACTGCAGGATAACGATGATGATATATGGTCTGTTTGATTGAATAATAATAATCAGGATAAATATCTGGGAGCTTGTTTTCAGAGTGTGCACAGTGTTTTTTCTTTTGTCTGTGTTCACTTCAACAGATTCTACACCATGCATGTGCACACCACTACCCCCCCCCTCCCACCCCCGTTCATCACCAGGCCCTCATTACCTGTGAAGCTGACGAGCTGAGTGGGTCACAGTGTCCCGCTCAGGACTGTGACGGAGCCGGAGAGAAGAGCTGTAATCAGACACATCAGAGTTAGAGCTGGAGTCACATCCGAATCACACATTTCATTTCCCTCTTCCTCCACTTCACACATCAACACGCAGCACACACTGTACCACGAGGCATCAACTTTCTCATACTGTTTGTGTAATTGCCGGTATGTGAGGAAAGGGTTGGGCAACAGCTTCATTTTGTCCACAAGCGCACCCACAAATCAGAGCTGCGGCCCAGAATCAGCCCCTGAGGAAGCTGTCTGTCTGTATTAGACCTCCACAGTGGCTCTGAGCCTCGCTCTGCCTCCGTTCTGCCCGGCTCCGCTCAGGCCGGGCAGTAAAACAGGCTAGACGGACAGACAGGGCCCTGGGGAGAGTCTGAATTACCGACAGTGGCCTAAATCCATAAATCTCAACCACTGAACTGAACCCCGTGTCCCAACATGATTGGTCCACAGTGTCCTCATCTGTCTGTGATTTAACCTCATTACAACACGGCTCCAGAGGTTTTGTTTTTTTTTTTTTAGATATTGCTTCATGAATAAATATATGTTTGTTCGTTGCCATGGACGCCTGAACAATAATAGTTCATATAAATGAGGCTGAAGCTGAAATGGTTTGTGTAAAAAATATCTGGCGATCCATTTGTCTGTGATCTCCTTTAGAAATGAAACAATAACCTGAAGGTGATGCCTCAATGCAAACGGATGACTTTCTGTTCTCTGTTCCCAGGCTCAGTACTGTCGGCCCGGTGTCTGATGGATGTACTTGCCCTGTTGCACAAACATAACATGATTTTTCTTCCTCTGTGTTCTGCAAAATATAAAAGTTTCCTCTATTAAAACAAGACAAGATGACCTCCACTCCACCAAATCTTCCACTTAAGATGGATAAAAACCACTAAGCATGCATTGCTCAAGTCTAATTTTTGTTTTCTTTACTCACAAGTTCTGCACGTGAGCAAAAAAACAACAACTTGTAATCAGTGAAAAGAGGATAATCCCACAGTTTAAAGTCTTACCTTAAACACACATGTCTACAGTCACATGCACGCCAGACGAAAACATGCTATCGTCTGTTATTACTACAACAAACACCTTTTTTTTCTCCCCCCCCTCATGCCCGTCTCTTCTTCGTGCACGCAGCCCTACATGTTGGCACACATAAACAGTTTGGGGACTGACATGTGCACGTAACGAGAATGGAAAGCCATTATCCAATGTCACGCCGGAGATCAGCGCTGGAATGTAAACAGGAGAACGAGGAGCATGAATGAGAGATGGAGAGTCAAGATCTGAATATTTTCCACCGAGTTTCTTAAGAAGTCATCTCTGGCCAACTGGATCACTTCAGTGTTAAAGCTCAGAGCTGGCATTCCTTGAGATGGAGGAGGAGGAGGAGGAGGTGTGGTGGTGGTGGTTGGGACCATTGTCATTCAGAGCCATGCATTCAGAGGTATGCAAATGCTCCAACATGTTGGAGGGTTCACATTTCAATAAGAAAAAAACACAACCTCTCTTCCTTTGTGTGGGCCGAGAGCTGCTTGTGCCAGCAGGCCAATATCATTTCCATTGGTCACTGAAAATGCAAATGTACTTTTAGATATAAACAAATAAGTGAAGGGATCTATGAAAAGATGTGTGAATAGATGAACTTTTCACAGCTGCTTCTGTGCATCTGCAGCAAAGTCCTGGGAGAAAACAGAAAACGTGAACAACAACAAGGTGTTGTGTTGATATTTCATCAAACACAAGTAAAAAATGTGGAGCTTCCAGCATTTAAAACCTCAGATCTGGACTATTAAACAAGGTTTTATCTTAAGTTAACTGATTGCAGAAATCTAAGAGCAGAGCCCAGTGTAAAATAATTGGCCCCTAATAAACAACTTTACAAACACTGATTAAAGGCAATGAGGATGATAAGCATCTATCATGATGCTGATAAACATATGACCACGGCTTATGAGGTCTCGCCCCCGGGGAGGCCTCTAAACTGCCCCGGTTTCTCTGATATCCCAAATGACCGTCCTTTGAGGGCTCAGGCCTGAGGGCGCGTGACGGCCGTGTGCCTCATTCTCATTCTCCGCTGTAAAAGGTGCAGCCGCCTCGGGAAGTCAACCCTCACTTCTGTGTCAACAAGGACATCCTTCTGAGAACGCCCTCCTCCTCCTCCTCCTCCTCCTGCAGAGTTCACCTGCCCCTCGTCCCCTCCAACGTCCCCCAATTAACTCCACATTCCTCTGTTTGCAGTGAATACCCCGAATTCTCCCTGACAATTGTCCACACCCCATCTAAAAGATTACCCCCCATTTCACCCTCTCTAACCGCCCATTGTCACCTCCGTGTGAGCGACACGCTGACCCAGAGTCAGGCCTTGTTCTGTCCTGTTGCAGCTGTAATCGTCAAACGTATTTTAATTTACCTCCATCTCTTTCTCAGGGACAGGAAAGGCAACACTGACCTACTAATGTGACCCAGCAATCAGACAGTGGAGTGAAGTTTATTGGAGTCGCTGAGCTGCAGTGTCAAATGTATTATCAGGTATAAAACAAAGTGATGCTGCACTCAATCTGTCACAATCACTTAAGAGTCAGTGTTGCACAATCTGCTTTAACTTCTCATGTAAGTCACTCACCGTTTGTGGGTCACTGATCGAACGCTGGATCTTCATCAGGAGAGCAGGCGAACAACACCTCCGCGAGCATCCTCCCATTGTCTGTCATCATTAGCCTCTTCGCCTGGTTGCTAGAGGAGGGAATGACTGTGATGCCTTTTATCTGTCTGTGTCACAAATATGCTGCAGCGTGGGCTTCGATTATAAAACAGTGACACCTCGCTCACATCATTCATTTGAAAAGAAAATAAGAATAAAAAAAGCAAGAGCTCGGTTCTTCACCACTTCACCACAGAGAATCCAGTTAACATGCCATCGGATGCAAGTATGTTCAGTATTTAGTCACTATTAGCCACAAAGCAGGCTGCACCAAAACACTGCAGTTCACCGCACCGGCTGTGATGTGGTTAGATGTGGCAGCTGTGTGTGTGTGTGTGTGTGTGTGTGAGTGTGTGAGTGTGTGTGTGTGTGTGAGTACACACCCAGCAACCGTGTCTGCTCACGAATCTCTGGGCACTAATTTCATATTTCAGCGCAGCCGCCTGTCATCAGCACTCTTATCAAAAATACATACCAGACCATAATCACAGAAGCTCTGGTTGCCAAAATACCTCAGAGCACATGAGCACAAATGAAAGATGGGGAGAGGGAGAGGGAGGGGGGGTGAGTGAGGAGGCAGAGGAAAGTGGGACAAAGAGATGATACAGGTTAAATCACAGCAGAGAGCAGCTGCTGAACCGATTCGACACGTGAAAGATAAACAAATGTTTTCTCATGCTGCAGGATTTAACCGCTTCGTCGGAAATATATTGAGTCATTTCTGGATGTTGGAGCTCGGTGGCTCTCACATCATCAGCATGGATGCATGAGCGTGTGAGTGTGGAGCCCACTGTACTTGTGAGGTCCACGGTGCTTCAAAATGCTGCGTGTTTACATATTTAAATGGCTGTTTGAGGGTTAAGACTTGGTTTAAGGGTTTAGGGAATAAATTATGTCAATGAGAGATAGCAGTGCAAACATGTGTGTGTGTGTGTGTGTGTGTGTGTGTGTGTGTGTGTGTGTGTGTGTGGGGGGGGGGGGGTGTATTTGTACAACATCACCCCCCTGTGTGGAAGATTCATGAAGTGTAGGGGCATGTCTGAACAGGTCACCGGCTGCAGCAACACAACAGCAGGAACAGGATCCATCCACATCCCAGATCAATGCGCGTGCACACACGTACACACACACGCACACACACACACACACACAAGCAGTATCCACCATACACATTAAAGAATTTTTTGGTATATTTATACCAATATAATTATTGAATATATATAATCATTATTATTTCACCACAGAATAATAGTTTTTACTTTTTTGCATATTATTCTTTGACATGAGAATAATACACTGTAATATAATTATTATTATAATTACTTTTTGTTGAGTTGAGTCAGTTNACACACACACACACACACACACACACACACACACAGAAGCAGTATCCACCATACACATTAAAGAATTTTTTGGTATATTTATACCAATATAATTATTGAATATATATAATCATTATTATTTCACCACAGAATAATAGTTTTTACTTTTTTGCATATTATTCTTTGACATGAGAATAATACACTGTAATATAATTATTATTATAATTACTTTTTGTTGAGTTGAGTCAGTTTAAAGCAAGAAAATGTTGCTAAATGTTTGCCTTTGCCCACCTAGAGCTCCCACCTGTTGCAGGAGCTGTGTATACACGTGTAGGCGGGGGTGCGCGCAGGTGGGAGGGGGGAGCGGGTGGTGGTGGTGATGGTGGTGGGGGGGATCACCAGCGTCCAATCAGATGTGACCGCATCTCTAGCGCTATAAAAGCCGCGTGCGCTCCTCCGGCTGCAGCACTCAGTCCTCGCGCTGCTCCGTGTCGTGTGCGTCTCCACGGATCCTCACAGAGCAACAGCAGGATTAACTCCGCACTCCTCCCTCCAGGCTTCACCCACAACCTTTACACATTTGGAAAAGATTGAAGTTTTGTCTCCACTTTGAATTTTTAAAACATATTTTTCACGGAATTGACCAAAGCGCGGGAGGGAAAAAAAAAAATGCGTCTCATCCAGAACATGACGACCATCGCGGAGTATCCGGCACCGGAGTACCCGGTCCCCAACCGGGTCATCAAGATAGCGGTGATAGGAGGCAGCGGAGTCGGGAAAACCGGTAAGAGAATCATGAAAATCATCGTGCTGTAGTTTAGTCACAATATGACCTGATTTATTTTCTTATTTCCTGTCAGATCATCTAATATTTGTGATGACTTTGTTTTATTTCAGCGCTCGTGGTGAGATTCCTGACGAGACGCTTCATCGGAGACTATGAGAGAAACGCTGGTGAGTTACTGAGCGACATTTTATCTGAGGGAGAAACAGACTAAAGTCACTCTGTAACACGGTGAAAGCGTCGGTGGATGAATTAACTGACGTCCCTTTCCCCCCCCCTGTGTGCGTCGCAGGTAATCTATACTCCAGAGAGGTTCAGGTGGACGGAGAGCAAGTGACCATCCAGGTCCAGGACACGCCAGGAGCCGAGGTGAGCTCCTCTCCTCTCCTCAGTTGGTTTTTACTCTGTGGTGGTTGAGCGGGAACAGAACGAGAGCTGAGCGGGTGGAAATCTGTTTAAAAGCTGCGGATAATCCAACACAAAGATAATATAATCTAATTCACCGTCGGACTCTTAGAATCATCTAAGCCTCTTTTGACTGGGCATCAGTCCAACACTCAAGGTGTGTGTGTGTGTGTGTGTGTGTGTGTGTGTGTGTGTGTGTAGAGCCCATCAGTATCTAATCCCCCATTTAGTCTAATGGGTGTCTGAGTCCAGGGTAAATGATACTGTGATCCAGACTCCTCAGTCAGCCTCACCTCTCTGCAGCAGTAACTCTATACCTCTGTCTGCCTCGCTCAGCATTCCAGTCATGGCTAAAGATCAGTTGCATGAAGCCGAGGAACATTTAACCTGAGTTGTGTTTTAATCAGCCCCCCCCTCCCTCCCTCTCTCTCTTTCCCCCAGATGACAGATAATGGCATCAGTCTACCCGACCATGCGTCCTGCTCCGTCCAGTGGGCGGACGCCGTGGTGCTGGTGTACTCTGTGACGGACCGCCGCAGCTTCGACCTGATTGAACAGCTGCATCAGCTGGTGGCTCGTGCGGGCGGTGCCAACACGCCCCCGGTGATCCTGCTGGCCAATAAGGCGGACCTGGTGCACCTGAGGCGAGTGGACTCCCAGCAGGGCCCTCTGATGGCGGGGACCCTGGGCTGCTCGTTCTATGAAGTGTCAGCCAGCGAAGACTACAGCCAGGTGCACGGGGCGTTCCACAGGCTGTGCTGCCAGCTCGCCAAGCAGCCGCCCGCCGCCTCCAACTCCTCCAACAGCTCTGCCAGCGCCGCCACGGAGAAGAGGCGCTCACCCCTCATCCCCAGGCCCAAATCTCCCAATATGCAAGACCTGAAGAGGCGCTTCAAGCAAGCACTGTCGGCAAAAGTCAGGACCGTTACCTCAGTGTGAGGAGAGGAAGTGACGGTGGTCCAGAGAGTCCACAGAGAGGAAGTTAGCGTTGAAGGTGGAAGAGGAAAGGACAGAGAAGATTCTGCCTCTCCTGTGAAGCCCTGTTCCAGTCTGGCTGGAGGAGGCAGGTGATGCAATTGGTTCTCTACAGTGTTAGGCAGGTGGATCGTTACAGAGGTCGTGACCTCTAAGTGAGCGGGTCCTGACAGAGACCACGCGTGAGGAGGAGCAGTGAGGAGCTTCATTGTCTGTTCAGGAGCAGAGAAGTCGACTGAGGACGTGGGAGCAGCTGTGTGAGGCCGACCGAAGCACACACCCTGCACACGAAATCAAAAACTAAATCTCTCCTGGCAACAGCAGCTGTGAAGGACTCTACTGCTTATTTTTAGCCGGGCTGCCGTTGTGGCAGTTCTGTGTTCAGACAGCCAGAGCTAAAAACTGATTGTTGTTATTATTACCAGCCACTTGAGTCAGGGCTCTGTGCAGCTGTGTGTGTGTGTGTGTGTTCAGTCTCTTGTATTTCAATATCTGCAGTAGATGTTTTGCAGCATCCAAAAGAGAAAAAGTGGGGTGGGGGGGAGGGGGGGTTAGTGGGGCAGCAGCAGAGTATGTAGCATGTGGCGGTTATTTTCACTGATGCACTTTATAAAAAGGACGAGTCCAAAGGGCCTGTTGTTATTTATTTGTTACAAATTCACAATAAAACGATGATGATTTTGACTTCTGTCTTTTTCCTCATTTTTAATTTCACCAGCATTTTACTACAGAACCACAAATCTGTACAGGAAACACATTTACTGCGACAGTGCATTTGAAAACTTTAAATCTTAAATCTGTGTCATGAAGATTATGAGACACATGGCTCCTACAGTGAGGGAGAGGAAGGAAGTCTGACCCACGATTAAAACCGATTCTTATAAAAACGCTTTGACAACAAAACAATGAACAGGATTGAAGACTAGTGGCTGCACCGATAATCTAAAATCTAAAACCTGGTTCTGTCCTTGACCCCAGAAAACCAATTCCACAAAGAAAAAAAAGAAAAAAGCCTGATGAAGCAGCCTGAGCTGAGTTCATGTTAGTTTTCTCAGAGACGACCTCGTGTTATCAGGGACTCCTCTGAGAATTGGCAGCTCCCATAAGATAAGGACAAAATCATATTAAGCACTTTCCCCAATAAAACCTGATCGTGTGTACGTTAGAGATCTGTTTATTTACAACTCAGAATCTAATTAGTGAACCCAGAGTATCGTGTTCAGATCTGTGAGGGAGGCCGCTGCACTACACTCTCCCTGCGTCTCTGCCTCCGACAAACTGTGGGAGAGTCTTTCTGTGGAGAATCAGTGCAGGTGCGTGGGTGGGTGAGATTTCTGAGCTCCAGCCAGAGAGTATAGAGGGTGGAGAGAGGGCGAGGAGGGTTTAGCTGAGCTCCACGTGTGAGCACAGCGTCGGGCTTGTAGCAGACAGCGTCAAACGACTTGTTAATTACTTTCTGGTCTTGTGAGGTGTGAGGGGGCGAGGTGAGAATGGACGCTAACAGAGAACAACGGGAGGCCTTCCTCCGTTCACACCTTCACTTGTAATGAGTTCACACCTGAGGCCTGTTTTTTAACGAAGCCTGGCCGAATCAGGCAACAGCTACACCTGAGCTGCTGTACACAAACAAACAAACAAACAAACAAACAAACAAACAACACACGACATATTTTATTGTTATTATTAACATTTAGACGGAGGCAGCACCTGAAACGTACTGCTGTAATTTGTCTGTCACACACTTTCATGTACGATTTCTGGAATATCTACTTTATATAATCACTTTACAGGTCACTTTGGTTTCAAACTGAATCAAACAGCTGACACACACACACACACACACACACACACACACACACACACACACACACACACAAAAAAAGAGTGTTAAGGAATGTTTTATTTGCTGATAATTTCCATTTACAGCTTTTATTTGTGGTCCATGAGAGTGTCCATGTGTGTTCGTGTGTGTGTGTGTGTCTGTGTGCATGTGTGTGTCCACGTGTGTGTGTATGTGTGTGTGTGTGTTTCCACGTGACGACCTTTTCACACACCGATGTCAGGCGCCAGTCTCTGGGTGGTGAAGAGCAGCTCGGGGACGTCCGTCGGCCTCAGCAGCCTGGTGGACAGAACCAGCACCTGGTGGCGGAGCGCAGCACACTCGTTAGGGTTAAGGTCATAGGTCATGGTGAGTAAACTCGATGCCAGGAGATGAAGCTGACATGAGTGTGAAGGTGAGTAATGTACGAAGCGTGGGAGCTGTTTGATTGCCAGGGAGGGTTTGTTTCCTTTCACATCCTGTTTGTTTGACTGTGTTTTCAGTGGCTTTGTGAGGACGTGGTCATGTGATAAGAATCAGAACCGACACTTGTTGCTACTAATCCCTTTTCAAACACACTGTATATCACATTACTGGCCTCATCTCTCTGTTATTACGGCAGCTTCGGCTCGTTCACACCTGGGCGCAGATGTTTGTTACAGCTCTCTTCACACCTGACACGACTGTGATGGAATGAACCACAATATTTGTCGTGTTTGGAAGCTGGTGTGAAAGACAAAGTGCTGTTAAAGCCTTAAACTTGCAATGCCCTAATGCATTTTTAATCAATTTACATCATTTATTACACTATAAACATCATTTTGCTGCCTAAATTATAAAGTCTGGATAAACCTTTCATTTATACATGTAGCTGGAATGGATGAAAATTCAACACACATGGAGGGAAACAATTATTTTGTCACCTGATCTGACAGGAGAAGAAACAGATTTTTGTTTTGTGCATAAGTGACAATTCATGGATCATTTTAAAGCTTTTAATAGTTTTTTAACACATGCAGAACAAATAAATATAATATATAATATAAACACTGAGAAGAATAAAGGTGTAAAGGTAGTAAATGTCCACACAGGCTGCAACTGTCCAATGAGTCTGATTTAAAAGGTAGTTCATATCAAATGTACATTAAGGTGGACATATAAACTAACATGCACTAGTTATGTTAGTCAGAAATAACAAATGAACCTCAGTAACAAACAAATAAAAACATTGAAAAGTGACTGTGAGTTGCTTATTCAGTCATGAGGCTACGACTCTGAGAGAGATGCACGTCTGAAAAGGGAAGAAGAATCCATTGTGACCTTGGGGAATTCAAGCTGTGCAGAACAGCAAAACTACTGGTGCCAACTTTTTACATTCACCTGTGAAGTCTACAGGGGGCGGAGTCTGACACACAAAGGAGTTTAGATGGAGTATCACATTAATTTTCTTTTTTTTTAAATGAAGGTTATGTGGTTGCCTGAAGAATAAGGGGATGACTTTTGAGATTCACAAATGACTTCCTTTGAATAAAACTCTGACACAGTTTATTTCCCATCATGCAACAACACACTGATTCAAATAAAACAAACGAACATATATTTTGTGTTTCTAAGCGACAGACTGAGGGGACTGCACAGTGTTAGCGAAGAGCGCTTTCTAGGCAGAAGGAAAACTACAGCTCTTCTTCTGTTGTATAACAGAGAGGTTCTGTTTTCCTGCAGCCGTGTTGCTTTAACTTCGGGTCAGCACCTAAACTTGGCAGCGGGCCTGTTTGTAGTGGCAGAGCGAGTCTGTTTCAGAGGAATTTCATCCGAGTGCAAGAACCAGAACTGAGCGCTGAGCTTCATGAGTATCTGCTCCACACAGTACAGCGTGCATGTATGTGCTCAGGTTAGTGTGTGTCTCTGAGGTCAGTGTGTGTGTGTGTGTGTGTGTGTGTGTGGGCCAGCAGGTTATTATATGAGCTCGTCTTTATTCGGTTTTCCTGATTACATATGGAAGGCTTTGATCCTTGCTGGCCTTTCATTGCCTCTGGCCTCCTCCTCCCCAGAACCTTTTATTAAGACAAACCCACACCACCCAGCCTGATCTCCCTCCCTCCCTCCCTCCCTCTCCGCCTTCCTCCCACCCAGACAAAACGCATTCATCTGCATGTTTTACAGGCCACTGTGGACTGCATATGTAATCAGCACTTCATACAGAGAGGCGGGCCGGACACAACATCTCATGTGCGTAATTAATACGTGCAAAGATCAGATGTCACTCTCACCTTTACACCTGATCTGAGCGACCTGCGTATGTAGGTCAGCGTTTTGTTCGTTCAGTCTGAGGCCGGACAGTCTGTACCTCCTCCTGACTGTTTGATTTTTCATGGCCAAAGCGATGACTCAATCTGAGTCAACGTCAGTAAAACTCTGCAGAATCTACTGTCATTATTCTTTCTGAATGTGTATTCTAGTGATTGATTTACTTGGTAAAGAGTTTACAGTTTATCCTTGGGACGTGAACGCTCTTTAATGAGTCAACTTGTAGCTTCACAGGCTGAAAGAATAACAGGTCGATCGAGTGGATGGTGATGATTCATCCAAATATAATCTGCAGTAATAAAACACAGAAACTCTGCTACTGAGTGACTCTATTGATCAACAGAACAAGCGCTCCATCAGTTTGATTTACAGGATATTTGTGCTTTTAATTACTTGGATCAAACGCTGAAGTGTCGCACGCTGCTTTGCAGCAAGTTTGGTAAAGTGTCAGCTGTTGACAAGGAAGAAGGATGGGTGGAATAAAAAAAAAGATGCTGCATTGATTTTGATCCTGTTGTGCTAATGTGATGGAGCACTCTCTACAGTACAGGGGGAAGTGCACTGAAGTTACATCACAACACCGCCTCGCACAGCTGGAGCTGTTTCTCTTTAAAGTTATCTTTTGGGGCCTTTTTTGGCTTTATTATGGTGACAGAGAGAGAGAGAGAGAGAGAGAGAGAGAGAGAGAGGAGGGTTGGGAATAGGACTGAGCCTAAAGAGTAAGTGCTCTGTCGGGTCAATCTTAAGACATTACATTTTTTAGCACAATAAGCTGCAGGACAATTTATTTTAGAAGAAAACTAAATTAAAACTTGTATCAAGATAATCTGATATTATTATTTTCATCATTATTTTAATATGACATGATTCAGTTAAAAAGACAACATACAGCAACACTAATGCTGTCAGTGTGAAGCCCTGTCTGTTCCTGAATGATCAAAGATCTGCTTTCATGTCATCACATGCAGCAGAGGGGAGAAACACTGAGCTGATATCTGGTAAAACAGATATGTCACGTCTCATCCTCGGGTCGGTGCTCTTGTAAGTGTCGGAGCCTCGATATGAGACGTTTCGACAAGTGTTTGTGTATTTTTCAAACTTATTTCGGAGCTGCAGCTCACTCTTTCATTCCTGAGTGCAGTGCAGCTGTGGGAAAAGGGGCAAAATTTAGCGTGTTCACCCAGGTGTTGTGTTCACATCACTGCCGATCAGAACCGATAAAAACCACCATCTACTGCAGAGTCACTCGACCCGGGTGTGAATGCTTATTGTTTCCTTTTCTGTTGCAGACAAAAGCCAGACGTACTCTTATGTGTTTTTATACATTATATTGCACTTTTGCTTATTTCTTTGTACCCTTAACTAACTCAGTTGTTTATCTACTTTAAAAAAAAAAAATCTTTTCAACTTCCTGTTGGTTTAATCAATGTTTGGTCTAATTTCAATGTTTTTCTTCTTATTATTATCATTTTATTTTATTTATTTATTTATTTATTCATTTTTCTCCTACATGTTGGGATTTATTGTTTGATTATACATAAGAAGCACTGAGTCACCGACTGTGGTTATCTATGCAAGTAGATGCTTCATAATAAAAATAGTATATATAATACAACAACAACAACAAAAAAAGTGTTAGTTAGTGGGTTTTAGCTGCTTTTTGGGGCTATAGAGTCAGTAAATTGCTCATAGCTTCTTCCACACAGGCCTTTTACTCACACGGTTATTTTTATTTTCATGTCTTTGTATTTACAGAGTGAGATTCGGAGGCATCGGCAGCTGAACCAGAGCCGAGCTGAGTCCGGGTTTCTATTCTTCATTAGAATAATAAAGCACAGGTGCAGAGCGCTGTGACTGAAAAGATTGACTTGTGCTCACAAATAAGCGATTAGCATTCTCAAACGTAACGAGCACGATTACGCGGAAACAGACGTGGCCTGCGACTCACCTGCATCCCTGGTTTGTGTGTGGTGACGACCTCTTTGACGAGACGCAGCTCTGAGGGTGTGACGCCTCCAACCAGAAACAGGAGCAGCACAAGGTTGTCGCTGGGATGTGGACGGCTCACCTGGAGTTAAGACGGGACATTGTGATTGGTCAGTGCATTTTTTATTTATTTTTTTCACGCCATCTGAGGTGTTGATACAGTTTCCTACTGTAGAGCAGTCCGTAGTAAACAGCCCACTTGGCCCAGGGAACACTTAATCCTTCTCTCTCCATATCATTAACTGTGTCTCTGTCCATGCCTGGTTGCCGAGTTACAGCTCAGCTGGACACATGTGGTGATGTGGAGATACTGATGAGAGCGGACTCTAGCGAGACATAGGTCGCTGCAGCTCAGAAGATGATGTCTTCTCACCCTGGTGCTATGAAGGCTGACACGTGGACACACACACACACACACACACACACATACACACACACACCCTCATACACCACATGCAGACACAAACAAATCACCTGGGCTAAGGAAGTTCACACACGCTCAGACGTTTACTAGCGCGGATGAATTTGAACAGCAGGAGGAAAAGGCTGGCGTTTCTGTGGGGAGAATAATGGCTTTGTGCTATTGGCTGACGAGCTGCAGGCAGGGACTCATCCGCAGCCTGTGAACACTAACTGAGCAATCAGAGCTGCAGGGGGCGGACCTGAGGCAGGAGTGGCTGTACACGTGAAACCAGCAGGCTGCGGGGGGGGGGGGGGAATGTCAGGTGTGAGGCAACATGTGTTTGTTGATAATAAAAAAAAATGTGTGAACAAACGCTTTCTAGTGCATCTGCTCATGTTAAATTTTGTATGTCAGGACATATTGGGAGGTACTCGACATCGCAGACACACCGTGCGCTCCGTGTGTGTGTGTGTGTGTGTGTGTGTGTAGGGGGGGGTAGTTTCTGAACCATGTGGACTGCCATGCGTTAGACGGGGAGCGAGGGGCTGATGGGAGTGTGAGGAGAGGAGGTGTGAACTGAACTGTAAGTAAGGAGGAGGTTTCTGAGAAGCGGCGCTCACTAAAACTTCTCTGTGTTTTAGAACAGACACACACTAGACATCAGATCATGGTCCACACACTGACCCAAATTTTTTGGCGCTGATGACTGTGCTGCCTTTTTTATTTTATTTCATAAAAATTTAAAAAGTAAAGTAACTTCACTACAAGTGCTCAAAGAAAGTGCAATTAAAGGCCTAAAACTGAAAACCAAAGTATTGCAGTTGTAGCTAATTCAGGCTGATAAAATCATCTGTAAGTTGGCCTGATGAAAAAGTGCAGTTGCCCAGAAGCTGGTTTCAACCTGGCCAGTACTTCACTGCTTTGAATGTTATAATATTTTGTGTAATATTTGAGGCGACATATTTATTATAAGAACTGGATCTCGAACTCAAACTCAGAACAATTCATAAAACGACATGAAAAGTCCGTCCATTTGAAAATATTAAAAGCAGAAAAGATCATTGGAAAGGATTTCAGGTAAAAAAAAAAACAAATCCTGTAAAGGTTTGGATGGTGGGTCCAGGTGGGCGGGGCTTGGTGACTGCTTTGTTGTGACATCACAAAGTTCCAGAAGTCCTGACGGCTGGTTTTAAGGCTCAGTTTCTGAATACAGGCTGTGTGCATTTCTCTGTGGACTGAGGCTTTGATACTTTCACAGTATTAATATAGAAGCTAGACCTGATCTATAATCACACGACACATGGACACAGACCTTTACACTGGAGGAGCTTTAAACGTATATTTGCTGGCGTTAGTCGGACAGAGAAACTGCAGCTGAATAAAGAGGAGCCAGATCTCCTGCACGACTGAGACTCTGTCTAAACAAAGGCTAAAAATGGCCGACCAGACACCCACACAGTTTGGTTACAGACAGTTAAAGGCGACAGTTTAAGGAACAGTGCACGAGCTGTCAGTGGGTCATAATCCAGACTGGGGTCCAGTGTGTGTAATGATATAAACTCTGGAGAATGCATAGGCCCTGTGGTTAAAAATAGACCTTTTACTGGGGTGTTTTATTGCATAAAGGGGTGTTCACTGTGCTGCAGTCCAGGTTTATAGGTTGAGTCTGTCTGAGTCGGTGGTTTGTGGGCCAAGTTTCTTAATTTGTTTAAACCCAGGCCCCGGTTACACAACCAGTCTAATTCCCCCCCCCCCAGGGTAATCATCATCTTAAGCAGGCCCAGATGTAGGACGATGATCAGACCATGTATAGTGATCTGCTCTGCGGTGGATATACATCACCCACAAGCCCCAGAACTACATGTCTGGTTGAGAACAGCATATTCTGATCTTTTCGTTTCCCCCCTTCACTTTAGAAGAAAGAATGAACGAACAACTGACGGAACAAATCAACTGATCATTCAATCAAACAGGTAATTAACAAACTAATGTTCTGCAAATCCAACTGCTTCGTTTTAAAAGGTGAAATTTGGGTTTAAAGTGGATTAATAAAGACTTAAGGTGGTTTTTCTTGTAATTACCAATATGGACTTCTGTCTGGCCACCAACCGTATCAGCTTTTGTTCCAAGACCAAGAACTGGGCCGGTGCCATCTGAGGATTACGTATGAAGCTGTGACCTGGTGTAATGTTTACATGCAATGTTATTACTGACAACCACATAAGGTTGAGTAATGGTTCAGGTGATCAGTGTTAAAATGTGTTTGTCTGATTGCTGCTTCATCTTTAATCTTTTTTTTTTTTCTTTTGTTTTTCAATAGTTGGTTACCAAAGTCCTGGAGGCGTGGCCTATTGATAAACACTTCCTTATCTTTGCAATGCAACATCCAACTGCAACCAAATTTGGGAGACGTGTGAAGACATGGACTCAGAGTAAGTTTCATGGCCTTTCAACCCAGAGTGAAACTGTGTGATACTGTACTAACACCATAAATCTTTGGACACTAAAGGCAGACGTGGTGCAGAAGTGTCTTCAGGGCATCTGCTTAACATATCTGAACACGTTACCAACAGTGCCGCCATCTCCTCTTTAATAAAGCCCTTTGAATTTTCGCTGGAAACTCAAACACCACGAGGCACGGAGGGGAAATTCTTCTTTCTCTGGGTTTTTTTCGGTCAAGCACCAGCTACCATTTCAAAATGGCGCGCAGTGTTTACCTTCTCTAGTTAAACCTTGTGTCGGGCTGTTCTCTTCTCTGTTTAACTGCGCGGGGGGGGGGGGGGTGGTTGCAGAGGGGTGAACTCAGGGGTTTCAGTTTGCCAGCTGCCGTGACTCTTGGCCGGATGCCCGACTGAACACAGTCTGCGGTGGTCAAAGGTGGAACAACAGTGAGGGCTCACATCTTCACTGCTCTATAGGCTCCCGCTGGTTGGTGGCGTGCAGGGCAAAGTGGGGTGAGATATTTTTGGACTCGCCACTGTACCTGGGACAGACTTTTAATTATCGGCAGCTCCTGCCCCTCACACACACACACACATACGAACACTGTCCGGATATCATCAAACGCACCACGAGTCTGAGCCACGGCGACGACATTAGTAGTGCACAGTACATTAGTGAGTCCGTGTTTGTTAGTTAACAGGCTAACTACGGCAGGCTAACTGTTAGCTTCATCCAAATGTCCCTTAAAATGTCGCACTGATCATTTTTAAAACAATAAACCGTAAACTGGCGAAGCTGCGTGAGTCGCAAAGCGGTCGGTTACAGTGAAGTCCAACTACACTGTAAAACTATGTTTGAATTTACATTTGAGTGTATTTGATATTGAAAACTACACTACTATATACACTACTTGCTAGTAGTAGAATTCTGGAATAGGATACGAGTCACTGCTGTTGACAGTGTACCGGAGGAAACAACCAATATGAGCGGACGAAGAGTGAAGTTCAACCAGTGGAAGAAGACACTTGACTGTCCACAGTGGGCAGATGGCAACAGAAGGGTTAAGAGGATGTTACATAAAAATGTGTGTGTGTGTGTGTGTGTGTGTGTGTGTAAGGTCTGACCTTCATGAACATACTAAAGCCGGTCTTCAGCAGGTCTGTGAGACCCCCGGACATGTGCTCGATGTCGGGACATTCGACTCTCTCGGGGTGGAAGACTTCCTCCAGGATCTGTCGCAGGAAAGGACGATAGGTCGCCTGCAGAACACAGACACAGACACAGACACGCAACTTTAACACCGAAAAAATACCTGCACTGACAACACTGTTGTATTTTTAGCCACGCAGATGCATTAAGTGTGAAATCCTGCAGTCAGAAAAGGAAAATCTGTGTATGAATAATGAAGAGCTGTTTTCCACAGAGTGCCCTCCTTTTAGCCTCTGCATATTTGTGTGAATGGCAGTGGGTGTGAGACACAGCGGAGTTATAAACAGCTCTGCTCGACCAAACAGGCCACTGACTTCTGAGTCACTTCAGGAAGAGGAGCTTGAACACTGCTGCATGTGGCCGATCAACATCAGGTTTAAACGAGGATATATCAAATCCAGAATCAACAACCTGCAGCCTTGGAAAGTCCTGTCAGTATTTCTGAACACATCCATTCATAATCCAAAGTACGTAATATAAACGACACTATCAACTTGTCTTTTTTCACTGTTTCTTTTGATGAGATGATAAAACAGTTTTGACGTTTGAGAGAAACACTTTTAGAGTGTGTACAATACGTGCTGATGAAAACCACATTTCCCTAAAACGCACAGACATATTGACACCATCATACGACTTTAAATTGCTTCTCGAGAAACAGTGAGCGGCACCTGGCTCTCTTCTCCAGACTCAAGAGCTGCTCAGCGTTCACCATCACAACAATCTGTTATCCGGCTTTTTGTTTCTCCTCAGTTTGACAAGAGAAAAGCAGGTGTTTCACTGAAATGTTGACGTCCTTGAAGGAGTTATTCTAAAAAGTTGATTCATAACTCCATAACAGTAACAGGGAGTAAGCTTTTTCTGCCCAGCTACTAGGACAGAATGTACTATTTATATCCCTCAAAGCCAGAGGATCATGAATTGAAGACAGATTTTTGTGCCTCTGAAAATAATAAAAGACAGAAGAGATTTGGCAGAGCTTTCTTTGACTATTTGGAATAGCAGAGGTCTTAAAATAGGAAGGCTGAATACCTTCCAGTACTGGAGCACTGGATTCCTGCTTCATCCTCCTTCCAGGATGTTGTCAAAGAAACATCTGAGCAGCAAACTGTTGATTCAAGCATTAAATATACACCTGCACACACACTACGCCGTCCAAGTGCTAATGCATCCAGGTGTTTCTGCCCACAGGCAACCTCTCACCTCAATATGTTTCAGCGTGAATGTCAACAGAGGACTCACAGCCTCCGACTCCTCTCGTCCCCGAGGAGCGGTCACATCGGGGGAAATCCTCCTGCCCAGGTTATATAAATCACTAATTATATAAACTAACATTTACAGCCATCAACATCTGACTTTGCTGCCTGGGGCCTGCACAAACTAAGCCGGGAGTAAACACATAATGATTCACCTCCAGCTAAATAACACACTCACGCATGCACACAAACAACCAGCAGCATCACCGGGCATAAATAACAAAAATCCAACCCACAGTCATGCACACGCCATTTTTACATCTGGCTTCCAAAGAGCTAAAAGCATTAAATCACCACCACAAACACCCACATGGTAAAAACAATATTATACTTAGTCATACGATAATGCCAGTGCTTACATATTCCTCTCTATACACACACACACACACACACACACACACACACACACACACACACACAGACACACACACACACACGTATCAGTTTCCTGCATGGCTTTTCTTGGCGTAGAGGTGGATGAACAAATTAATGATCCACAACAACTACGGTGACAACATCGACTAGAATTACCGCCTCGTGGTCGTTCGCCGCCGCCATCCAGTTAAGTTGCAGTTTACATCCATGTCTGTCCAGACTCATATAATATATGTAGTGAAGAAGGAATTTAATAAAAGCTATTAAGTGTTTTTTTTTTTTAGCAGAGTTTCAAGGTGGGCAGACAAGAGCAGTGTCGCTAATTCAGTGTCCGGTAAAAGTCCAGTACGTCTTTTGTGTCTTTATTGAGATGCAGCCATTAAACATTCACAGTGCAGGTGGAAAAAGTAAGTGAACGTCCTTTTGTACCAATAACCATGAACCAGCTCTTCCAGTAGCTGCTGATCAGAGCTGGACAATGTTCAGGAGGAAGTTTGGACGATTGTGCTTCAGCTCAGGCAGATTCTCAGGATGTTCCCTGAGGTCCCGGCTCATGTGGACAGGTGGACGGACACCACGACATTATCCTGCAGGATTCCTTGATGAACATGGGAATTCAATTTCCCCTCGATGACGTGGAGCTGTCCAGGTCCGGAGGCAGCAAAGCCCCAAATCATGATGCTCCCTCCACCCTGCTTCACCTTTAGGATGTTTTTTTTTTCCCACAGTCGTGTTGTGGAGAGTCAAGCTGCTCTTTGATAAAGTTCAGGTGCAGTGAGGTTTCTTTTTTGGAGAGCAGCAGCTTCCTCTGTGCTCCATGACACCATGATGTGTATGTATGGAAGACTCATGAACAGAGATGTTAACCAGCTCCGATGATTCCTCGAGGCCTTTAGCTGTGACTCTGAGCGTCTTTGTGACATTACTGAGCTTCATACATTAAGCTTCACTTCTACAGAGAGCAGCCACAGATCTAAATCATCTTCAGTCACAGACAGTTTGTCTGACTGGGGACTGATGAAGATCTAAACTCTTTGAGATGACTCTGTAACCCTTGTAGCTTTATGCTCATTACCAACTTATAAGTTAAAGTGTCTCTAACCCACACCTCCAGTCTGGCTTCATTGACTGGACTCCTGACTCCAGTTAGCTTGTGTTGTTGTCATTAGCCGAGGGATTCACACAGTTTCCAACCTACACTGTGAACGTTTGAATGACTTTTTTAATATTTGACAAGAACAACACAATGATGTGTGTGTTGTTAGTTAATATAGATTGTGTTTGGTCATTATTGCAACTTATATATGTCAGGACCACTGTTTCCACTGCATCTAAACAAGCAGGTGCAGCTGCAACAAAAGACACAGTCAAAGTTTTGTAGAAAGTAGTTGCAGTGAAATCTGTTGACAGCATATTACTAACTGTGGTAACTGTGACTTTGTTTATGTTGAATTTCTTCATGAAATATAATAATGAATGCTGAAAGCTCTAGAAATGAAAGTCTATTCACCACTGAATAAAAACCTCAGAGATCTCAAAACAAAACACGACAACAGTGCTGGATTTTTGAGGCTGATGCTGATACTGTTATTTATAATCATTATTTTTAAGAATAAACAACAACCAGATCCCTTAGATTTGTTTTTTTTTTTTTTTATAATTGTGACCAAGATATAAAGACGAGGATTTTAGAGTTGAAAAATCTACTTCGTGCTCTCTGGTGGACCAACTATGTAATGAAGACACTGTTTCTGTTACTTACTGGCCGACATACACACCAGTACCCGTACAATATCCGCCTAGCCTATTTTTCAGACTAGCTACAGTCTGCATATTAAGTATTAAGCTTAGCTTAGCATGAGGAAACAGAGAATAGAATATTATATATTATATATAGTATAATATATAAAATGTTTTTTTTTGTAATGTGGTTGAGCTGATGCTTTAGTTTTGCTTCACATTATTTTAACTATGGTAGTAATGGCTGATGTCCTTTAGAGGCCATGTTAATGTGTTATATAATGAAATGATGTCATTATGTAAGATGAATAATCACAGTCTCTACTTCACCTCAGAACCGTCTGTTCAGTCTTCTATGCAGTGTCACCTTGGTGAGTGAAAAATGTGTAGATACAGGTGTGTGTGCTCGCCACAATCTGTCACTGTGAACTAGGACGAATAATTCGGTTACTATGGCTTTTGATTGGTTGTGTAACTCTGACCTTGTCTCGTTGTTAATCTTTACAAGGCGAAAGAATGGAGTGAAGGCTCACAGCTGTAAAACTGCCATGAAACTTCAGATAAGTGAGAAATGAAGCCCCTCCCCCTCCGCAGAGGAAGCTGACTCCAGCTGTTACAGGCTCCGTGACTCAGATTTCATTGATGCATTTCTTTTCCTGGAAATTTGGCAGCATCCAGTTGCACACAGCACGACATGTGAAAAGTAAATGTGCAATTTTCATGCAGCTCTACAACGAGTATACATGTGACAGTAATGTGTGCTTCTCCTCATTTATATGTTTTATATGATGTTTAATGAATTTACAGTGCACAGTGTTCAGTGGTAGCCATGCTAGGATGAAAATATATGATCACACTGACCCGCCAGAGTGCTGACTCACAGTCTTATTTCAGGCTTTGTGAGAACAAAATCAGCGACTTACAAGAGTTAGAGTAAAAAAAGACCCAAGTCAGAACCTCTCATTTCTGTCTGAACCCTGCACTTCAGGGAAAAGCTTCAGTTAGAGGAAGTCCGACAGGTATTGGCTTCATTGGCTGGTGGGTGGGGGAGGCGTGCTGAGAGAGGCTGATGGATTTCTGATGTTTCTCAGGAAGAGCCAGTAGCCAACAGATATCATGCTGCTCTCCCTTTAAGTTTAATCATTGTCATAATTCAGCAGACGGGGACAGACTGTTCTGTCCAAACACAAGCACAACAATGCTCACATGCACGCGCACGCACCCACACAGTCACAAACACATCGCCATTTTTGACAAAGATGATATTACATTTTCAGCTATCTTTGTGCTGTACTGAGCAGAACTTAGGTTTAATGAAAAATAACTTTAAAACTTATTTGACGATAAGAAAATACCACTCTGTTTGCTTCTGAGGCTGAACTGAAAAAGTAACTTTAATTTATTCTATAGTTTGACACTTATTCCCTTTCCTGCCAAGAGTTGATTGATACCACCCGCATGTCTACATGAAGCTACAGCCAGCAGGTGGTTAGCTTAGCTTAGCAGCTTAGCAAAAAAACCAAAGTGTAAATGTGCCATTTTTTTGGGGGGGATTATGTTTTACACAATATTTTTGTTGTATACTGGTTTCCTAGCAACGAGCAGAGACTCCAGGAAGTCACTGATTCAAATCTTTGAGCTAAGATAGCTGGCTGCTAGCTGTAGCTTCATCTTCAGCACACAGTATGGCGCTTCCTGTGACGCGCACAATGATTTTCCATGAGATTTTTTGTTACTCCTAGCTATTTACGGCTCTGCTAGCTTAGCCTATCTTATCGCATTAGCTTCTTGTTCCCTACAGCTAACGTTACCTCGTCTACAATACTACGATGGCTTGTGTTAGCTGTTCTGCTCTTGTGGACAGGTGTCTCTGCTGGAGAGACACTGTCAGTTAGAACAGCTTCTTTCTCCTTACGTTAGCTTAGATTTGACGGGCACTCAGATAGCATTAGTCTCAGGCCCGACAGCGAACCTGTTAGTGCTAGCATTAGCACAGCCTTGTTCGGAGATGGTGCAGAGGTTATCCTTGTTGGTCAGCACTCTTCCAACTTTCAGCAAGAAGAAGAATAAAATGACAAACCTTTCCTTTAAAGTTTACTGCATACAAGCAGCAACTTCTGGTGCTGAATGAAGCAAACACAGAAGAACCAAAAACTGCAATTCCTCTAATTCCTTTTTTGGTCTCTACAGCTAATTTCCTTCTTCATGACACCTGTTTATATAACTCACCTGTTTACATTTTATTAAGGCTTATTAAAGTTATGGAGAATTGAGGGCGTGGCCTCTTTGAGTGACAGGTCAGTGAGCGTATACTTGCCACAAACAAGACAAAAAGTCTCAGCCCCACACACGCTCCTCTTCTTTGACCATTTTTTGATTAGCTGGGAGTTAGCGGCAGAGTCAGAGACTGCCAAGATGGTGACGGTGGAGCAGCTCACACTGAGCTTCAAAACCGCTCTTCAGAAAACTATGAGTGACATCATGGAGGATGGACATCCATCTTTATTTACAGTCTATGACTGTGTACTGCTGAATATGCATGTTAATAAAACAGGATGGAAATGGATGAAAAGCACCTAGAACTTAATTAATGTGAACATTTTCTTATTTGATTATCCTGCTGAACTCCAGAGCTCCAACTCCTCCAATGAGAATAAGGCGTTGCACCTCATGGCTTTACTTATGTAAGAATGGGAAAAAGTAAAAAAGAAAAACTGAGAAGTACGGAGAAGTCCCGGCTGTTGTAAAGCTTTTCTTCAAGCTCACCTCTAACTCCAAGAGTTTTTATTTACGTCTGTGTATTTGACAAAGAAAACCATTATGACCTCAAAAAAAACAACAAAAAAACAAAAAAAACAACAACAAAAACAAGTGACTTCCATTGAAAGCTCTCATGTTCCTTGGCCACAATTCTCTGATAAAAGCCACCCAATCAAAAGGAACCACAGCGACGGTGAAGCTGCCACTGTTGACTGTCTTTGAGAAAAGGTAAAAGGCTTTTCATGAGGACAAAGCTGTCAGATGCGCATAGAGAGGTGAGTTACATAAGCAGAAGGCGCAGTTTATGAAGAGGCCTTCACAGTGAACTCCTCTGTGCCGTATGTCTGTGTGACGCAAACCGGAGGGTGACGAGAGCAACAAAGGCCAGAAGTCCTCTGCTACATCTGTGTCTGTGTTACTGTCACAGCCAGCGTTCAAACAGGTGAATAAAGACCAGGGAAAACAGACGTGAGCGATGCATATTTTTCTACTTTTGCTGGGTAAAACTGATTAAACTGTCGTTTAAACTGTGATGGTGACGCGCAGCTCACGACTGACGGGATCAAGGAACAGACGTATTGGACTTAACACTTGGACTCTAACAGGGAACCATCCTGCACAGCGTGTGTTTGTGATAGGACAGGGCGATTAATCTAATTTTATTTTCGATCACAATTTTGGCTTCCAACGATCATGAGAACAAGATAATCGTAGATAACCATCCCCCCATCCACTTCCTGGTTACGTTTCGTCGTACGTTAGCAACGTACATAGGAGAGCGAGGTTTGAGATTGTTGGTGCAGCGCACTACAACATATCTAATCTCATTTATTTTGGTCTAACATCTATTTCTCTAATAATATTTGTTCAGTAGTTTTCAGTAGGTTGTGGAAGTACACTAATGTTACAACAGTTGATCTTATTTATTTTTATTAATTTTTATATAATATATATATATAATTGTATATATTTAGATGTATATTTATTATTTTAAATCTATTTTCTTTATTTGTTTTTTCGTTGAATTGTATTTAAAGTTCAAGAAAGTCTTTTTTAAATGTGTGGTATTTCCAAAGTCAATGAGTAATCGTGTTCAATAATCGGGATCTCAATATTGATCAAAATAAATTTATAATGGAGCAGCGTCTGACCTGGTGAACTCCATCGCTGGCAGTGTAGACGGAGCGCAGCTGCTTGAGGTGATCTCTGGTGTGGCTCAACCCTCGCAGAGTCTCAAACATGTCCTCCACTGAAGAATGGGCTCGCTCTGTGGTCAGCTCCTCAGGGTTTGCACAACCTAGCAAAACACACACACACACACACACACACACACACACACACACACACACACACACACACACACACACACAGTCTTATTAAATGAAAAAACAGCTATAAAACTATAAATGAAGGTTATGAGTGAGACCTGACAGAGGAAAAATATACATGCAATTATAAGCATTTGTGTCAAAGCATCACTGTGATGTAAATACTTTCCAACGTGGCCTGAGACCAAGGCTAATTATGCAAGAAAACATTTGTCTCTGCAAAAATTCGGCCATACGATGCAGCACGTTGCTTTGTGCAGGTAATTTTCTCAGCTGGGTGTGCACTGAAACCAATTACCAAGGTAAACGCATGGGAGCGAGAGGACAAGAGCGCCTTTATTTGAGCCGAAGCACTGCTGTCTAATCAAAAGCTAATGTTCCCTCGTTTCTAAAAGACGCGAGCAGGGAAGCAAAGACACGCTGTGAAACGAAGCTGAAATGACAGAGCAGAAGATAAAAGGAGGTAGAGGCTCGGGGTGGAGAGGGAGAGGAGCGCAAGAGCAGGAGAATGTGAGAGAGAGGTAAACAGAGAGAGAGAGAGCAAGAGGACGGAGCGAGCACGAGTCTGTGGGCAAAGTAGGTCGTCTGGCACCTGCACCTCTCGGGAATGTGATGTGTGTTATAGAAGACGTAAAAGCTGAGAACTGTATCAGCGCAGCAGGGTCCGTGAGGCTGTCACCCAACAACCACAACACCGATGACTCCGTCGTTAATGCTGCAAAACACAGCAAATCTACACAACACTGTTGCATGTGTGTATTTTAAAAGGAACTGGAACTCTAAACCTCTGAGCTCGACGATGTTTCCATTAATATCTTTGTGATAATGCAGCGTAGAAATGTGGTTTTAATGTTGTTAAAATCTGTCGACTCGCCACTTTCCGACTTCCGGAGCCAGAAGGCCTCGAGGCACGCCTCTGAAATTTGGTGAAAGCAGAGTGAAAGACATTTTAGGCATTTATTATACATTCATCTACTATTGAACTCATATATTTCACTATTATTTTTTTATGAACCTCAGACTCTGATATCCATTTCAACTCATCCACATCAGTAAAGGTTCGTTTTCACTAGAGATCTGGAGAATTTCAAAAACCGGGCTTCAAAAAAGGAGCTTCATTATTACAGAAAGAGCTGTGATATAAACACTTGGGCATTATTTTTTATGCAACCTATTAAAAGGTGAATTTAATAATGTAGAAAATACCCTCAGACCTCAGAGGGTTAAGCTGCTACTTCCTCTCAGTCAGGAGCTGTGAACTGGCTGCTGGGATAAGAAGATTAAGCTGCAGGAGCAACTTCCTGTCTTCTCCTCCTCAGGGCTGTGTTGGCCCACTCCAATCTGCACTGCCCACAGGTTTATGTGCTCAATTGTCTGCAAGACACCGTGTACGATATAGTAATACACATGAGTAATGTGTTGGTTGTTTTATACTAGAATCATTATCTGGGAGGAACTTTCACCTGCAGTTCCAGTAACGCACATCCTCACATAATCATATAAACATCAGACAACGTTTAAACAAGACACAAGCCCCTTTTTCCACAAAGCTCTCGCTATATTGCCTTTGTGTTTTTACTTACGAAGCAATACTGGGTGAACGTGCAGCTTAGCTCAGTGCTATCAGCTCTGTTTGCTCTTTAATGGACCACGAATTTCTTCAGTTTTCTTATTAAGCACCGTGGACGTGGGATCATCTAAAAATCAGATTCATTTATATCCAAAATGTGAAGAGCATCATAAAGAATGTGGTGAATGAGACATGCACTTGTTTTTCTTGAGCGGCCATTGAGTCCAAATTGCTTCCATGTCGTATACGTGGTATTTTATGTTCTATGCTGTATTTTAATATGAGTTTGCATGGCTGCCATCTCGGCCAGGTCTCTCTCGTTTTTATCTCAAGGGAGTGGACGATAACAACAGACCATAAATGAAGCATAGTGGTGCTACAGAGATGCACCAGATCTCCACATTGTAAGGGAACATACGTGTTTGGTACAGACACCCACAAAAATCACATCATCGTCACTTTTTATATCTTTTTATGTGAAAATGAAATTTTCAAAAACGATCATTCCGGCTCAAATCGTGACTCACAATATGTTTAGTTTTTTTTTTGCATGTGGTTCAACCCTCCACTGAACCAAACAAAGCCAGCATCATTCTGCCTCACTGTGATTTTAGATAGCAAGCGTCGGTATCTGTCCCGTCATGCCAGCTGTAGATCCAGCTGTAGATCCAGCTGTGTGACGACCTCCGCTGCTGGTTTTTTTTTTTATTTCTTATGATTAGCGGTTTATTGTTTTCACGACGAACAAAACTTCACCAAAGACAAAACACAGAATAAAACAGAACAAGAGGGAAACTATAATGAAGACAATGACGACCACACACAAAACATAAACAAAAGATAAGGATGACTTGATACTGAGATCAGACAAACAAACAAAAAAAAGGCCAGCATGACTGTGATGCAGAATGTTCAACAGTTTACAGCATCGCCTGTCGTCTGGTGTTCCAACTGTTACTTTACGTAACAGTTGACTGTTAATTACATGAGCTGGAGACGCCATTAAACGCCCGATATGTAATCAAGTAGCCTGTATGATAAACGTTCTGCAGATGAGGCCTGTGCAGAGGAGGCTTTCCATTCTTTGACCACAAGTTTCTGTCCGAACACGAGGGCAGTCTGGATCCAGGCAGCACGTGGTCGACCCCCCCCCCCCCCCCCCCCCCTGCTGGTTTAAAGTTGGAACAACGGTGGCGCTTCGTAGCTTGTAAACAGAAGAGTGACGCTCTGAACGGGCTGTGTACAAGGAGCTTAAAGAGTCTACAGTCACGTCAGCGGCTCCATCAGGCTGAATTTAAGCACTGTGATGATTTAAGCTAAATGCTAACATTAGCATTATGTCAGTAGGCTGGAGCCAGACCATGGAGCGCTTTAGAAGAAGCTTAAAACCGATTCTGAAATACACTGGAAACCAACTCAAAGAGGCTAAACTTGGGGAGGGGGGGTCATGTGATCTCTTGTTTGTTCTAGTCGAGTCTTGCTGCAGCGTTTTGTATCACCTGAAGGCGTGAGCAGACTCTGGCGCTCAGGACGGTGAAGAGAGAGTTAAAATGATGAATTCTGAAGATGAAGCATGAATAACTTTCTGATGAAAAATATCTGCTTTTAGAAACAAAAACGTGAAAATCGAAAAATAGAATAGAATCAAAAACAGATCCATAGATACGACCCTGCACGGCTGGTGTTGGAGGTACAGACGCATCTGCTACTGCTGAAGCCACTTTCTTTGAGCATCTGAAGCAGTTTTATGAACAAACAAGTGAAGGATTATATTTATATACGGATTTTAAATGTAACTCATGTCTGTCTACAATAATTCATTTAGTTTGGGAGAGGCAGTGAGTGAGAATGGGGCTGGTGATGGATGGTAGAAGGAGGTTTTATTGAAAAAGAATAGGATCCTATTTATCAAAAAAAAAGAAGAAGAACTATGAATGTGAAGAAGTTCATTTTTATAAAGCAAAAAGTAAAGAAAAATTCTGTGTGACAGTCTTCATACACTAAACACTGCAGGAGATATAATAGAAGAAACTGGGACGCCTCCATCACTCAGTAACACAGAGAACACGTCAGCCATTTTCTCAGTAAAAGAGTAGCTAGAACTGTCGGGCTCTCCAACTTTGATTCGACTAATTAGGCTAGCCTCAAAAGATTAAGCATGACTTCTGCCGCCATGGGGTAATCATCAAACACTCAATTACAGCTCTCACTTCAAACATTACATAACAACAGAGTGTATGAGCTCACATGCCACACAGACCCACTCTGAAGCGAAGACAGAGACAAACATATGTATGTGAGTAATGTGTGAGGTTTTAAAGATAAGATCTGACTTTCACAGGACATGAATCCCCCTCCATGCACAACGAAGCACTGACTCTGCCTGTAACACACTGTAAACTGATGAGTGTGAGGGCAGCCATGTCTCTCCTAGCTCTTCCCCCTCACGGCTGTAATGACAGGATACGACTTTCAGGAGGCTGAAAACTGACCTGCAAAACACTTTGCTTCATTTTATTTGGCACGTTATATAGGTTGAGGCAATACGTCAACCTCAGCACAGTTAGATAACGCACTCTGAGCAGCTTGACTTTGTCAGGACTTAATCTCTGTTATTTGTTCTCCGTTAGTTCCTTTTCCTTCCCCTATAGACGATACCATATCTAGCACAGCAGCTCTTTGTTTTGAGTCACTGACTGGAGGAATGTAAAGTGTCTGCTCTCCTGCTCTGTGCTGGGCTGAGAGGTAAACTCCCAGGAAAAACAGCAGGGCCTATTTGACGGAGGTGAGCGTGAAGACTCGGTCAGATGTGGGTCTTATCTTTCCAGACACCTGCAGAGGAGAAAGGCATCCTACAAAACAAACTACAACCGATGTTTGTCTCCGGGCGTTTGCGACGTCTGAGAAGTCTGCGGTGCAAGAACACGGTAAAATACAACATGTGTGCAGTGAATTCAATCACATGTTGTAGCCTCCTGCTGAGCATGTGAGCAGGTGAGTCTGCTCGCCGTGTTTGTGGCTGGATGCGTCGTGAGGGCCGGGCGGGAGGAGATGTGTTCGAGTGCTTGCGTGTCTGCCGTGAGAAAGCTGGTTGACTTGTTGCCAAAGCATACAGTGAACGCCCCGGGAACAGGTCTGTTGCTGCGGCAGGCTGTTGGATGCAGCCCCTGCCCACCCCCATACCCATCCTCCACCCCCTCCCTCCCTCCCCTTCGAAGCAATCTGTGGTTTAGATTTTGATCTCGGCGCTGCAGATCCTGAGCACGAGCAGGACCAGGTGCTGATCCGGGAACATCCAGCTTGGCTGCGAGGCTGAACACCTGCGTCTGGATTCACCTCACGCAACGCTGCCACGCCGCCCGCCACCCGCCATATCCACTCACCACACCACATTTACTA